GAGTAAACAGGAGATGCTTCTGCAAAACTCTTCTAGACGTGCAGAGATAAAGGATGGTTCTACCACACAAAATAATCAGATACAAAAATAGCTGTTCAGAAACAGCACACCTAAGGAGTACTTTAATCAAACATTTAGGTTACCTGCCAAAAGGACCATGATCTCTTCAAAATGCAGTGCGGATTAAAGTGTTATCTAACACAAGCAGAAAACTAACCTTGGAGTGGAAGTTCGAAATGTGTTCATCATAATTTTCATGTCTTTGGATAGAGAAACCAGCTTTTTCAGCTAGATTGCAAAACTGGTTTAAAGTATTCCCTCTGAGTGGAGCAAATACCATTGCTTTTCCCTGAAACATTAAAAAGAGAATTTACACATTTTTAAAACTGGAAGGGAACCAGATATAACATACACCTGACTAAGCTTTTAATATACTCAGATTGGAAAAGTCAATTGTTCTCTTGGAAAAATAATCAAATAGGGTAACATAAATAATTGTTCAGAGTATGCAAGATTTTTATGATTAAACAAATGCAAAAGAGAAAGCAATAAATATTTTCTTTAGAAAACTGCCAACTGCAATACATTTGATCTTTTCACATAATAATAGTGGCTATGAATTACCAAAATAAAACATAGAAAAAGCATACAAAATATACATTCAATGCAAAATACATTTGCTAGCTCATGATCATGTAAAAATGGTAAATAATGATTTTCTTTTTTTAACTCACACACACAGAAGAGTATGTCTCATTTGATGTCTGTGGAATTATAACAGTGTAAAATAAGGAGAAGTAGAAGGCAAACAGACCCAATCATTATTTCTAAGGACGTTTTGGACCACCTGAGCAGTGCAGCTGATTTTGACCTTAAATTGGCAAATTTATTTTAAAGCACAATTTAATGTTCTTGCATAGTAATGCTGGATCATTCAAGATGACTGGGCCATTTGTGATGCCCAGGCAGTATGCTACAGACTACCAACTATTTTTTTTCTCATTCTTATGTGTTTAAGAAAATAAAAATGGCTTTACCTTGAACTGATATATTTTAGATACCTCGTCCCAAGCTTAACATACTTGATACAACATCTCTTCAAATCTTATTCGCAAAACTAATTCTAATTGGCTGAATATTATATTCTGTCACATGGAATGAAAACTAGCTGAAGAGTTGTAGACAAGGGATAATATCAGCCAACAACATATCATGTTGCGGGCAGCTGCCACAAAGTTTACTGTGAGTTCTTCTATGTAACTTCTGTATTTTGGAGACATAATGGGAATTTGGGAGGTGCTGCAATCAGCTGAAGAGGCGAAAAGTATCTTTAGGAATCTTTAGGGAAAAGTAATAAAATGAGTAAGAAACCCTGGAAGAATGTTCAGCTTGAGTAAATGCAATCTCCTACATGAGATGGAAAAAGAAACCACAAGAGAGAATTGCAATGGGAAGGAAAAATGCTGGGAGGTTACGATGCTGACAGATACTTTGCTGAGAGCATCTGTGTGCTGCAGCTAGTGCACACATATGCTAAGACAACATGCAGTGAGGCAATAAAAAGTGTCTATCTAGGGTCTGTACTAACATGAACTTAAAATACTCCAATTATTAATACCATAGCTCTCTATGTTTATTCACACAGTCTCTGTGAGGCAGGGAAATCCTGTTATCCTTGTTTTTCTCATGTGAAACTGAAGCACAAAGGAGACCAACATCCAAAGCAGCCCATTTTTGTCTCTTTTTGCACCTATAACTCTAACTCAATGGTTAAGTACGAAGTGCAAATGGAGGTTGCTCCACCAAAGGCACTGGCATTGCTTATATAAATATTCGGTCTGAATACAGGCTCAGCTCAGGATGAAAAACATTAAACACAGGAAATTCACAATCCGTAYGAAATGCATCATAAGTCCCTCACATCCTGGGCATGCTTTAATATCATCAGACAGAAATGAGGGGCAAAGAAAGTCTTCAGMTGAAGATCATCCTCCTGCTGCCATCTCACTSTCCTCCAAACCTTGCTCTGCCTAGGTCCCTGCCAGCTAAGAAGGACAGGACTCCACTGGAGTCCTCCTTCTTCATCAGCACATCCACAGAGTGGTTAGCATGATGAAAAACACATCCTTCATGCAAAGCTTGCTGACCACAGGATTCACGCACAGATTTCAGGAAAGGCTGCATCTCTTGTGTGGAGACCCAGCCCCACCACTGGTCACCATTCCGGTGGCTTTGATGAGGCAGCAATGCTCACACACCAGTGGCATCTTTCAAGGCTGCAGCTTGGGGTCAGCATTCTGTGCAGTCACTCATTTTCACAGTGCATCTAGACTAATGTTCTCACATTCCATTCAAAAGAGAAAYATGAGATAATAGAACGTAAAGCAATACTAAATATCTCTTAAAAACAGACTGAAAAGCTCAAAACAGCTTGAAAAAAAAGCAAGAGCTTTTCATGGAAATCATTGCACAATTACTTTTGGCCTGCTCCTTCAATGGGGTAAGAAAATATTCCTCTGCTCAGCATGCATCTAAAGCATCTGTGTATCTTGACACTTATGGATAAAAAACAACCATAAATCGTGATTAAGTTTATCATTTGATATTCTCCTCCAAACTGTCAGACACTGTGGTCAATTTTGGTCTATTACAACGTGAGTTTAAARTAGCCTCAGGTCAGCTGCCTGATTTGTGTAATTCTGCTACCTTTGTGGGGCTGCAATCACATTTCTAATTTTAAAACGTTTTTCATTTCTTAGTTGATGTACAGTAACAAAATTAGAGCAGTGGCCTGGATCTATACTTGATGGACTATGCACCAGTAATGCAGTTATTGAATTCAAAGCTTACAAATCAGAAATGTCTCCCAATTTAGAATGAATGTTTAAAGTTAAATAGGRCTTTTCCTCAGCCAGGCAGACATTTCCAGCAAAATAGTGAAGAAAATACGTTTCTTTTCTATCATTTTCTTTCAGTCACAATAGTCCGATGTGTCACTAAAATGTTATAGTAAGATAATAGGACAGACGTTCAGATTTTGGACATGACTTTGATTAATTTTACTCATCAATCATTATTAAATCCAACCTTTCCTTTCTTTTTCTCTGGGAGTAATATTTATGGTTTAATAACATCTGACTGACTTCACTGGGATTGTGCAYGGATAGTCCATAGAAAAATCAAACTCAATTAAAAAAAAATTATTTTAAGAAAATGTGCAAGCAAACAACTCAATCTGAGAGCAAAATTAAAAGTGCATTTTTATGTTATGAAAAAGCAAAATAATGTCTGCAAATCAAGTAGATTGTTTAGAAGAGGAATAAAACACAGCCACTCCAGATACATTTGTGTGATGTAAAATTTGAGGGTCTAATTCCCAGAATCAGTTTAGAGGTGACATTTGCCTTTGTAACAAATTCAAATAAGAAATTTCAGCTCCTGGTTGTGTGGCGGCTGCTCATTTCTGTCTGCAATGAGTTTCCTGTCCTCTCTTCCTGTGCCAATACAAATGTTCATGAGGCCAATCAGACTGAGATGACCAGGGTTAAGAGCATTGTTTTCAGAAAAACAAAATGTTACCCAAAACACCTCATTCTGTGACATCATGATGACCCATAATTCTAATAGCACTGTTGACCAGAAATAACATCCTTAAGAAAATAGGAAATGCCACAGATAAATTTATCTTCTTTAAGGAACAGTAAGAATAGATTATCTGTGCTGAATTCCTATTTCAAAATAGCTTTGTGAGGATATCCATTATTTTCCGTTTACTCTAATTTTGATTTCAGCTTTGTTGTCTATTATTTTCCTTGAAGACATTTGCTGKAACTTATAGAAGGAATGTAATGGTGTACAGCTTAGCATGCACTAAAAACTGGTAAAATTGTTTAATCTTAGCTGTATAACGCAAGTGCAGCCAGATGCACTAGAACAAGGTGTCTTGAATCTGCATACCTCTTTAATTTCAGATCATTCCTCTATCAATTTCACCAAATTGTAACTTCTATCTTTCAGACAAGATAATTCTTACAGAACAATGAACCTAATCAAATATCTTATTTTTGACCATCATCTTAATTATTGAAGCTGGTCAATGAGTCCATTATTTTTTAATTTTTTTTCTTTCAAGGCCAAAAAATATTGACATTTAACAAAATTTCCTCTGATACTATCCATAGATTTGTAAAAAATAAAAAGAACTGTATGAACATTTTGTACTTCAGGCATATGCTTGAAGACATCTTCATTCAGCATGTCCTTTTTGGACCAGGGATCTTATTTAACACATTCCTACTCCCAGCCTACATTTCCAGCTTTTCATTGAGCCTGTACAGCTCAGGGGTTACCCAGAGAACCAGATGAGGACACTGATCTGGACTGAAAATATTCCTTTTTAATGTGGGGCTAAAGCTTTGTGTTCCAGATCCCTATTGGTCTCCACAATGATTCTACTCTAAAAATTTAAGGTACACAAAAGCCAGAATACATCACTCTGGGCAGGAGATACTTAATTTCTGCTTGCTGCCACTTACAGAAATATTTCGGTACCCTTTTTCTTCTCAGGACGGCTACATTTTTTTTTTTTTTCTGCCTTCTTGGTAGGCTTGTACTGTAGCTCATTAAAATCACTCAATCTTAAGTAACTTGCCCTAGGTCACTCAGGGAAGTCCATGGTAGAACTAAGAATAGAAACCTGATCACTCTTAGCAAAGAATGGGATTACTTTACATCACTAAAATGACTTAGTTTCTTAAGTCTTTGCACGTTTAAGTCTTACAGAGAATTCCTCTTACAGAGAAAATCTCTGCAGAAAAGGAATAATAAAATTCTCAAATAAAGTTTAGAGAATGCATTCCTAAGATGGAATACTTTTGTGTTGAAATGGAAAGAATTCCCTTATTGGAAGATTTGGCAAGCACAAAAGGCAAAATTCCTGTTTCAAATTCCTACACATACCGAGTACTTCATGCATTTTCTCTCCTTTTTTTTTKTTTYTT